TACTAAAGCTGTTATCTCTGTCATTACTAGCCTAAATGCTTAGAATTAATGGAGTGAAGATAGATTGTAAAACTAGATATGGTCTAAGGATCTTCAACTAAAGATATTCGGCTATAGTGTTTTATTGAAGACGATTCTCAGAGAGACAGATAATAATTATGATTTTAACTAGTATAAGGTAAATTGTGGAATTTTATGAACGAAATTTTGATTAAAAGTGACTTTAAGTTAATGGAATTTGCTAATCATTTAAAATTACATATATACATACATAACATCACGCCTTTTTATTCCCGAAGGGTACACATTACGGCACTTAATGCCACTGTACAATGTAACACACACTTTTCACTATTTATGTTATAAGTCCCATATAGGCAAGTAACCTATTGCCATATGTTACAATATTCAATATTATGAAAAATTTTACGCTGTCTCCCATGGGCGTAGGCAGATACTATGGAACGCCACTTGCTACAATTCTTACATACCTCTTTCGCTATATCATTATGTCTTTGTACAGTCATCACTTCATCAGTATTTTCATGCATGCTCGTGGATTAATTCGACCCTTCTTCATTATATCGCCAATCTGGTCATTATATATCCGTCTAGAGCGCCCTCTACCGGTAGCCCTATTAGTATCCTATGTATGTGTTAGTAAAAAATACAACCCATACTAAATACTTATATTGATGAAAATAGGTTTGACGTCAACGAACGAATACTTCAACAGAAATTGTAAGAAAATAAAAGCATTTTATAAAAATTATTTCAACTCAATCTCTGTTTGTCGAGATTAAACCCATTCTTATTCAAGTCAAGGTTCAAAATACCAAAACGTATCATAACTATTGCTTTCGCTCGGAGCGAAAGCGAGAAACATACATATTTATGATCTCAAGATATCAAAACTTGGAGAATACGATGAGAATTGATAATTCTGCACTGGCTCTTCAAATCTTTGCTGGCGTGAATAACAGGCGAAGTTACTTGATAGTAATTACTAGACATGATTGTCTAGCACGTATAAAATATCATATAGTTAATGCCCCAGAGGAATGTATGTAGATGTTTATTTACAGTTCATTGACTTTTTGCCATCACTCACAAACCAAACGTGTTTATTATTTAACGTATACAAAATAGCCTATAAACAATCATGCATTTAATAAATTAATTTAAAAATGAAATAACACTACTAAAATACATGAAAACTACTCACCGAAATAACGTCCGAAAATAAAAAAGAGATCTGTTTCATCGATAATTACCTACGAAATGAGAAAAAAGCAGTTAACAGCACTCGTGATATCGACGCAACTGTCTGTCGCTTCGTAACATTACACAGATGGCAACGAACAATATACTTTATTAATGACTTATCGTAAAAGTTTACGTGCAAAAACAAAATGGCCGCCGCGTGGCGATTCGGATATTCGTTGTCTTTATTGCAGGATTTTATTTATTTTTTCCAAATGTTTTGTGCAGCTGACCTGCTAATGACCGATAAAATTGGCTATCAGTAAGATCTGTGTTATTTAGACAGATTTATTCAATATAGCTTAAAACCGTTGTAATAACGGTTATAAGTATTCTTCGCGCCTATTTCCAAGTACCTAAGTTTTTCATTTGCGTAGTAAATACACTGATGTCATTGATGTGAAATTTTGACTTATCTCTTCTGTCATTTTTCTCTTGGCAGAGCTATCGTGGTCACGTTGAGTCGGCCGTATCTGTGTTAGGCCGAAACTGTTTGCCTCACGATCTCCCGCCTGGTTGTCTAACGCAGTCTGACACTGGATTTCCTATTGCCGATTTGACTTGATCAGTCTAACGCATAGGTGATCTACCTCATGATGGTTACCTCTACATTCCCCTGATTTTGTCTATCCAGATCACAAATTCACTATCTTACACACTTGTCAAAAATACACGTACACTTACCGTATTACACGTACACTTACCTCTAGTGTTTCCCAGATTAACCAACAAATATTATAAGTAGGTAATACTATTCAAGTATCTCTAAAACTGTTTCTGTCACCTTTATACAACCTTGAACAGAAAAGGATAGCAAGATACGGTTACTGCAAGCCAGAACACCGTTCCAGTACTTGGGAGTTAAGTCATTAATTTTTGCTCAACTTTGTGTTACTTTTACGACCTTATTTTATGTACCTGTGACCCTAAAACTCGGAGTAGATGTTTATGAAGCGAACCGAAATTAATGTTACGGGATATTGTTACAGTAACTAACGGTTTTTCTATTGCAACATTAATTAAAAGTTTTGGCGCGAAATACTTAATGAATTCCTGTGTTTTATTGTAGCAGTTTGGGGTTATAATGTTGGTGCAAGTTGGGAAACTGTGGCTATTTGTTGCTTGTTAGTAATTATCTGCAGATTGTTTTAGAATTATTTGTTTGTTTTTGAGATTAAATCATTTGCAGTGATGCTTTTCCTGGCTTCTCTATTTTCATCTCCATTGTTATCAAAATAATTATGCTAGCATTATTTGTATTGTAACTTTCGTGAGACATACTAAATACATTATTATGTTTTCGGCTTACTCGCGTCATAATTTGACGAGGAACTCAACTAGTTTCTAGCCATGCTAGAGGCTCATATTCATGAGCATCATTTCGCTAGCATTGTGGATTCTGTATCTCCGTTAGACTTTTAAATCCTCAATCATTATGTTAACTGAGACCCATCAAAGTAATAAGAAAGAAAGAACATAATCATACATAACTATACCTATAGGTACAATATTCATATGCAATAGTAAACAGGGACAGGATAGTGAGGTTCTTGAAGAGGGCAGTGAATGGTTTTTTTTTTTTTTTAAGGGTCGGCAAGACGCATGTAATGCCCCAAGTGTTGCAGGCGTACATAGGCCACGGTAACCGCTTACCATCAGGTGGGCCGTGTGCTTTTTTGCCACCGTCGTGGTATAAAAAAAGGACTTAGTCCGCTGCACTAATTTCCACATTAATGGACCATCATGTCTATGGGCTATAGCAGTCAGGATACTGTGGTGACTTCCACGCAAGCGACTGATAAGCAATGAACTCTTTTTGCGCCCTAAAGCAGCGAATCCATCGGTGTAAGCATCAGTAGACATTGCTGACACAATACAGGAACATTAACTATTAGGAGAATATTTTTACTTACATCACACCAATTCTCTTTAAGCTATCAGATCTAGCTCATTCAATCTCAGCAATCCTCATATCCATTATCAAAGTTAAACTCTATGCAAAGGCACAAAGAGCTAAAATTGATCAATCCGTTCCAAGTATCTAGTATAGTTAGTCACTGATTTACGTATACGCCTTTGTGTTCGGATTTCATACACAGTTCTGACCAGAGGCGATTACAGGCAAGAGAATTTCGAATCAGCACTTGTCAATGTCAATTCCAGAACATTCGGAGGGAATTTCTAGTTATTTGGATAGTTTCAGTCTAGCCTTGTCTAGGTACAGATTGACGCTGTTTAATTACTCTGTGTTTGTGAAAGGAATTGTTTCCTGGATATCAGCTTTGTTAACTACAAACTGTGTGTTACGTGATACGAGAAGGTTAACGAAGTTCGGAATATATAGATGTGTAGGTATTGAATAAAAGGATGGCCATTTTCATAGTTTGGGACCATTGAAAGTTAATACATTAAACTGTCAAACACCAAGCGGTCACCGGTGACCGCGACCTATTGTTCTTTAATTGTGTCTATAAAACCGGTACTCGACGAGTTAAGTGAGCGATGTGCTACCTCATGAAACAATAACTGGGCAGTTGTTAATGTAGTCGGCTAAACGTTATAAGAAATGTCTGGACAGACTAAATACGACTGTTTTTTTTTTCGATTTAAAAATCGTCATAGATTGACAATATTTTCCTTAAAAGAGCGAGTATTAATTAAAATGTGACACTCAACGAAAGACTTTTACAAAATAGACTTTTATTATCAAAAACTGAAACAAGATCCAAAAAGCTAAAGAAGTACTTAGAAATTATTAAATTACTCTGACATCAATTTTATATTTTCAATCACTAAAATTACATTGATTTTACGTTCAAAAATTTCAACATGAAATTCAGAGAAGTGAAGTTATTAATTAACAAAATACCTTTACGAAATTAATTGAGTACTTTTATGTGAATTATGAAATAATTTTGTTATAAATTTTTCGTGTAGCGATGGTAACGTGATATTTGGGAAACAGTAGAAATGTGGAAAATCTGTTCTATAATATACCTCTAGAACATCGGAGTTATTTGAAAATAAATATTTTGAAATTGATTTATTATTTTGTTATCTGCGAAATGAAGAAAGTCAGTGACCTGACTTTTATGTTAGTGTAAACGTTACGTAATACATTTTTTTTATTCGATTTGAATCAAAAATGCTTCTGCTTCATTGGCCGAGTGGTCGCAAGTGCGATTGCACGGGCAAGGAGTCTTGGGTTCGATTCCCGAGTCGGGCAAAGTATTACCGGCTTTTTTAAAAAAAATTCACGGTAGTGGCACGGAGTCTGGAATTGTGCCCGGTGTATGGCAATAGACTCACCCCCTATTACATGAGACTCGTAACATAAAACGTAACGGAAAATGGGTGTTACATTACACAGTGACATTAAGTGCCTTTGCCTATTCACTTTGCCTTCGGGGTGAAGATATGTAGCTATATAAAATCGATAATTTTAAATTACATAATGAGGAAACTATAGTGCCGCAATGTATACCTCTGCCTACCACTTCGGGTATAAAAAAGTGTGATCTTATGTTATTATTATTTTGTTAGCTGTGAAATGAGCAAAGTCAGTGACCTGACTTTTATGTTTGTGTAAACGTTACGTAATTGATTTCTTTTATTCGTTTTGAGGCGAAAATTGCAAAAAGTGTAATTAAACTCTGTGTCCTTTTTTATGTCTTCGGCTTCAACAGAATTTATAGACAATGCTTTAAGATAAGTATTTAATTATCTTTTTGTTACAGTAACATTCTGGATTCTGGCTCTGGATCACGACCTGCGACTTGTCCGAGGAGAACTCGCCTACGTTGCGTTGAGCGATCCTGCTGGTACCAAGGTCGCTATATGGGAGCAACTCTCTATGGACGAAGGTAAGAATTTTAATCCCTTTGTACTTTTGGCCGGTTTGGTATACACTGATTATATTTCTTTTTGTGAGCTGTTCAAGCTACTATGAGTTTTGTCTAGCTATCATATCTTTTAAATGTTTTCCGAGCAATGAATGGCATAACCTACTTCTTAGATTATAATGTCAACATTTAATTTAATTTAACATTTTTAACTTAAAGTAAGGTAAAAAGTTTATTAAGAAATCAAAGTCAAAGTCAAAAGTCAAAATCATCTATTTCAATTAGACAAGGAAGGCACTTTTGAATTTCAACAACAAGAAAAATTTAGAAGTGAAGCTAGTTGCTCATTCCAAGATTTAGATTCCTATGGAGAAGAACGAGCAAGAAACTCCATAGGTTACTCTTTTTCAATCGGGTTTACAACAGGTACATAGAGAATATTTGGTCCATTAAAAAGTGTTATTATTTTTCAAACTAAAGCAGTTGGTCGAGAATTTATGATTCTATAATACTGAAGGACTATTCAGGATAACGTATCAAAAAATATAGACGAACAAATAAAGAATTGTAGCAACAAGGGTCAAAAACTGCCACAGGGTGTACATTTTCGTAAATAACACATAAGTCATTGTAAATTAAAAAGTAGGTAATGACGTGAATTTTTTTATATTTTTCTGGTTACTGTTGGAATCTTGATCATCTGGTGTCATTTGATCGTTGACTTCACGGATACCCTGAATACAGTTTTAGTACAGACAAATGAAAAAAAAAACAGTTACGTAATAATTTCCATTAAACCATAAGTTATAATTTCCTGCTATTTTGCTACAATAAAATAATAATTATATGCTCAAGAATAAGAATGTTCCACAAATCTGATTGTTCTGGAATCAGAAAAGGGGAGAAATAATACTAAAAAACCGCTTAAGATGTGAAAAACATGTTTTATTTTGTCATACCCCTACCTCTATATTTTCACTTCTAAGAACTCGAACTTAACAAAAAAATGTTAAAGAAAAAACGAACCCACAACTTTAAAACGTTACTTAAATTTATATAAACTATCCCCTTTAACTTGACATTAAACATTATAGTATTTTGTCTAAGGAAATACAATCTGTCAACCTGTAGGTATACACAATCCTTAGCCAAGTACAAGCAAAGGCTTTTAGCGGACGGTAAGAGATCATCTCTGTCCATATTATTTACTCAACCTCCTTGGAGATTTGACAAAAAGGTTGTATCATGTGATTATTTTGTTGCTTTTTTAAAGTGATGTTCTAAAAACTTTGTTTAATGGTTTTCTTCTTTATCTTTGTGTTGTTTAGTTTTTAAATCTTGTTAGAAGATGCGTTGTTTTTCAATGTACAGTCAAATGTCAAAAGTCCACTGCCACCGTGAGAGATGTTCACACGCCAATGCGTAAGTAATTTCATATTGATGTGCATAAAAACGCGTGCGTACGCGTAAGAAGTGCGTTACCGGCCTTTTGAGGATTAGGAACTTTAGGATTGTTGGAGATTCAGGGATTGGGGAGATTGGGGAAGGGAGGGTAATTGGGTCTCCCGGTAACCTCACTCACGCGACGAAACACAACGCAAGCGTTGTTTCACGTCGGTTTTCTGAGAGATCGTGGTATTACTCCGTTCCATTCATTCGTGCCGAAGCATGGCTGTTCCACACTTAACTTACTTACCTAAATTTCATTATGAAAACAAAACATAGTGACATCATCTACTCTTAACTTAACCCACTTTAAATTCACCAAATTATAATCAGTTCAAGTTATATTTTCAGTAGAGATCAGTAAACTCCAAAGTATTCTTATCAAAATGTAAGACTTAATTAAAGTCAGGCGTTCATTAGCAACGGAACCCGCAAATGAGCTAGCTAAAGTCTTATAATTATTTGACGTGAAATAGTTTGAGCGCCAACGTACCTAATATTATTAAAATAATTACCTTGTGTATGAAATTGAGAAAATAATTTAATTATCTCTGTTAAATTAGATTTGAATTTCGACTTTGTTAGCATGAAATAAATAATAATCTTTAATAAATTTATCTAAATACCAGCTGTTGCCCCCGACTTCGTACGCGTTATGAGTTTTAGGACACCACTTTTTATTTTGTTTCAATTTTCCAAAATAAAATTGCCTATGTTAGTCCAGTACATCAGCTACTTGCCAGTAAAAGTCCCGTTAAAATCGGCCCATCCATTTCAGAGATTTGCCAGTACAGACAGATAAACATACAAAAAATATAAAAAATGTTAATTTGGTATAGGTATCGTATGTATGTTCATATGCATGTAGGAAAAAGCGGTGATTTCAACATTTCGATCAAAAATGAAAATAAACTTAAGGGCAATAATATAATACAGTCTGGAACTGATCAGTCCCAGTCCCAAGCAAAAAGAGGTTTGCCATAATCTGATTAGCAGACAAATTCGACAGATCGTAGCACAACTATACCTATTGTTTAATAGACATTTCAAAGGAAGAATTCAAATCAACATTCAAAGCATATTTTGTATAAAAACAATTCATTCACAAACACACCAAGTTAATACGGTATTCAACCACAATTACATTCACAAAAAACTTCATAAAAGCTTTTTCAATTTCATCGCAATTCACAAACTTCTATTTTGTCCGTGCATGAGAACTTCGCACAATAATACATACTACAAAAAACAAATACAGCGTCTAAATAAACAACAGCCAGAGCGAACAAGCTGAATTAATTCGATTCAGCCATTTGCATCTCTATCAATAAAATTTTCACATGCGAATTGCATTACAAAATTTTATGAACCAGTGTAAGTTGGACTCCAAAATGAACGTTATTCTTGTCTTTATAATAATGAAACTAAAGCCAAGGTCCACAGACCAATATTCAGTGGTGTTTTCATAGAACAATACGGCTGTAATTGTGACGTAACTTTTGTTATTGTTTCTGATTTTTGGCTGGTTGGAAGCTGTGACTGGCAACCAGTCCTCGGTTTTTGGTGTCTGTTTTGTTTTCGATGTTCTAAAAACATTTTTTTTCTCTTCTTTGGCTAATGAGTCTCCAAAACGATTTTGTCGACTATACTGCCAGTGTGCAGTGGTGACGGCAGTTTAATGAACCGTCGAAATTAACTTTGTGGTAGTTTTTAATTGTTAGTATCTGAAAGGACAATACACTTTTTTTTTTTTTTTTTTTTTAAGGGGGGAAAATCATCGAATGACTGCTCCCGCCCGGGTGAGGCGGAAGGGAGTGTCAGACTCTTACTGACTAAAAACCACCCCGTTCCTTCTCCTGCACGTCGAGCCGGAGCCCCGGTTACCCGTTAGGTTCTCCGCGACTCCGAATCGGCATCGGCCCTATTGGGCCCCATCTGTGGTGGTCTGATGGCTCTTTGAGGCGCGCGCGGAACGCGACGCGCCGTACGCTCGGGTCTGTTTCTGGTCGGACGGGGAGCCACCCATGCTCGCCGTCCGCAGGCCCGCGCTTACGGTGGCCGGAGATCGTCCCGCGATCCCGACGCCCGGTGTGTCCCTTCGCGATGGCTGGGTTGCGAGGAGGCAGCGCTTCGCTGCCTCACGCGTCCCGCCTCCTCCTTAGCCAGCATGACTGCTTCGCAAAAGGAGGAGACGGCATCCCAGTCCCCCTCGCTCCGCATCATGGCCTGAACTAGGCCCGGACGCGAGAGGTCTCCATCGCCGATCACTTCCCTGAGGGCACGGCGGTGCTCAGCCCACGCAGGGCATTCCGCAACAGTGTGTTCCACCGTGTCCTCAGGGTGGTCCTCGCAGTGATGACACCCGGGCGTTTCCTCCCGCCCCATCAGACACAGGTACCTCCCGAAACTTCCATGTCCGGTGAGGACCTGCGTCAGGCGGTAGGTGAGGACGCCGTAGCGTCTCTCAAGCCACTCCTCAAAGAGGGGACTTACCGCTGCAATGGCAGCGAGCCCAGCCCTCGGTTGCGACAGTCGTTGCTGCCATTCCGCCATGAGATCGCGCCGGAGCTCATCCCGCCACGCACTTATCTGGCGCGGCAGCGGAGTTTCGCCCCGGCGACGTGCCTCCGCGCGCATGCGATACACGCGCGCGAGCACCTTCGCCTCCAGATCCCACGGCGGTAATCCGGCAAGGAGGTTCGCCGACTCCCCAGAGATCGTGCGGTATCCGCGGATCATTCGGATCGCCATGACCCTCTGTGCCATAAGCAGCGCCCGAGCGGGCCGCTGCAGCAGGTTCGGCGCCCAAACAGGGGCGCCGTAGAGGGCCATGGACCGCACGACCCCGGCGTATAACCTCCGGCAGGAGGCGTTTGGCCCCCCGAGGTTGGGGAGGATGCGCTTAAACGCAGCCCCCACCCTCGCCAACTTTGGAGCCAAACGTCGGAAGTGCTCCACGAAGTTCCATCGACTGTCGAGGACGAGTCCCAGGTACTTCATCGCCGTCTCGACGCCGATGGTAACCCCTCCCGCCATTATTTGAGACCCACCAGGAGGTGGCGCATTCCCGCGGCCATGAAAACACATGGCCTCGGACTTGTGGAGCGCCACCTCGAGTCCCAACTGCCGGATTCTCTCAACGACTGTCGCAACCGCTGTCGCCATTAAATCGGCCGCCGCCTGGTGCGACCTCCCGTGCGCTAGCACCAGCGTGTCGTCGGCGTAGCATATCATGCTAACGCCGTTCGGGAGGTCGGTGCGCAGCACCCAGTCATAACCGATGTTCCACAGGAGCGGCCCCAGAACCGAACCCTGTGGAACACCGCGTGACATCTCTCGCCGGTTCCACTCGCCCCGGTGACCGGGGTAGATGACGGACCTGTCCGTCAGGTATGCCTCGATTACACGACGGAGGTAGGTAGGCACCCGATGATATCGGAGTGCCTCCAAGATGCAGCTCCAGGGCAGGGAGTTGAAGGCGTTGGCGATGTCCAGAGACACCGCCACTACGACCTTACCCCTGGACACTGCAGTCCCCGTCGTCCGGTCCCTAACGCGCATGATGGCGTCCACCG